AAATTACCCTTATGACTGGTTTTGTGGTCCAGGGTCACAAATGTGAAAGTGCCTACTGTAATATTTTACTTGTTTAAGATTTGTCAACAATAAATACTCCAATTGACATTAAGGTTGGTGACAAAGTCAGAGTGAAATTTTCCATTAACACCCCGAAACCTAACTGGGGTGCTGATGTCACACATAAGAGTGTGGGTGTGGTAAAAGGCCAGATTAGTTTTTCCTCAAATAAATGATCTGTTATCACAAGCAATCTGCACTCAAGTACAAGCCTTAAAATATGAACTTGTTCTCTGTTTAGGCATTAAATGTGATGACAGTCTGATTTTTGATTTTCCTGAACATGCAAATTGGAAGGGAACTCTCTCTGAAATGGAGATAGTAACCAATAATGATGATTTTGGTAATTACAGTATTTCCATGACATTTAAGTAGCAGCTATTCAGCAGAAAGCTCCTCTCAGACGTTTGTGACGCTCCTTGCATTTCAGGATCTTCATGTCTGGAGTCCGTTATTAAGATTGGCGACCAAGTTTGTGTGAAGACGTCTGTTGTTACACCAACGCACAAATGGGGAGCAGTCACTCACAAAAGCATTGGTGTTGTTCAAAGTGAGAGCACTGACTGACAATGATTTCATTACTAATATTAGGCATGCTATCTTCATGCATTGTGCTTTTTACCAGAATAAATGAAACAATGATGCAAGTTTTTTGTAGGCTTATTGTGTGCCACCGAGTGAGAAAAAGGACATATATTTACCAACAAAAAAAAAACAAGTTTTATTTAATTATTTTTGCAGAAATTCAGGATGAGTCTTTGATTGTGGATTTTCCTGAGCATAAAAAATGGACTGGTTTAGTTTCAGAAATGGAGCTTGTGACCAGTACTGATTTAGGTAATTTCCCTATGCATTTTTTTTAAATCTGTTTGCACTTTGTAAGTGTAAATGCTTTCTGTATTATCTTAATTTTCATATTTGTTAACAAAAAATGTTTCAGTCGACATTAAGGTTGGAGACAGAGTCAGAGTGAAATCTTCCATAATTACTCCAAAACATAACTGGGGTGGACATGTCACACACAAGAGTGTTGGTGTTGTAAAAGGCAAGATCTGTGTATTTTTCTCAAAGAACAGACTTGAGGAGACATCAACTACTTTAATATAATTGTCATATACACTGGCAGCCGAAAGTTTGGAATAATTAAGATATTTTTATAATTATATATAAAAAGATTATCTTATGCTCACCAAGCTGCATTTATTTGATCAAAAATACAGTAAATACAGTAATATT